GTGTTTGGGTGGCTGAGCTGTGGAAAGACACTGCAGCTCAGGTAGAGAAACTGGTGGTAAAAGTGCATCATGTAGATTTCGAGCCACTGAGGAACAACCAAAGAGCAGATAAGGCTGCTCAAGTGTTCCAAATAGACTTAGACTGGGAACACAAGGGTGAGCTCTTTCTGGCTCAATGGGCCCATGACACTTCAGGTCATCAGGGCAGAGATGCAACATACAAATGGGCTCGTGACCGAGAGGTGGACTTAATCATGAACACTATTGCACAGGTGACCCATGACTGTGAGATGTGTGCTGCAATTAAGCAGGCAAAATGGTTGAAACCTTTGTTGTATGAGGGGAGGTGGTCAAAGTACAGGTTTGGGGAGGCCTGGCAAATTGACTGCATCACACTGCCTCAGAGACGCCAGGGTGAGCGCTATGTGCTTACAATGGTGGAAACAAGCACAGGATGGTTGGAAACATATCCTGTGCCTCATGCCACAGCCAGGAATACTATCCTGGGCCTTGAGAAGCAAATCCTGTGGAGACATGGTACTCCAGAGACAACTGAGTCAGACAATAAACTCATTTCAAAAACAGTCTTGTCACTGACTGGGCAAAAAAAGCATGGTATTGAGCGGATATACCATATCCCGTACTATGCACAGGCCTCAGGGAAAGTTGAAAGGTATAATGGTTTGTTGAAAGCTACCCTAAAGGCAATGGGGTGGTGGAACTTTCAAAAACTGGGACAAAAATTTGGCAAAGGCCACCAGGTTAGTTAATACCAGGGGATCCATCAATCGGGCTGGGCCTGCTCAGTCAGACCTTCTACATACCGCAGATGGGGATAAAGTCCCTGTGGTATGTGAAAGAAACCTACTGGGTAAAAGTGTTTGGGTCTATCCTGCTTCAGTCAAAGGTAAACCTGTCTGGGGTGTTGCTTTTGCTCAGGGACCTGGACATACCTGGTGTGTGATGATGGAGGACGGTGAAGTACAATGTGTGCCTCAAGGTAATCTGACCCTGTGGGAGAATCCTTAATTTGACAGCTTGTAAAATATAGAGCCTATATGTAATATATGGTATGGAATAAGGGGTGGAATGTCCTGGTTTGAGCCAGGATGAAGCCAATTTTGCTTTTACTGATTTGTTTTTCCTTCAGCAAGCTTTCTTTTAACTAGCAACAGTGTGTTCTAGCTAGAGCTGGTAAGACACTGGAATGTTTTTCTAACTGCTGGGTCTTCAAGGTCGCACCTTCGCTCTGCCGGCTCAGACACGATGGGGAGATCTGTGACGCCCCCATAGGAGGCTGAGTTAGACAGACAGCAAACCTGGCCAGAGATATTCCATTCCATATATCTATGTAAGCTCAGAGGAAGGTCAGAGATCACAGAAGACAACTTCCTTCCTGCTGCTTCTTCCCTTCTCTTCCATCCATGGCCAGCGTCCGGGGAGGACTCCGTCCATTCATCACCATTGACCCCCAGGCTCAAGCTCTCCTGACCCTCATCACTCTCCACTTTCTCCAGCAGCAGCTCTGGGATTTCTAAGGACTACTTCAGCACAGGGGATGCTGTAGGAGTTGCTGAGGGTGAGGGAAGGCAAGAAGGTTTTGTTCATACCTGAATATATCTGTATATAATTATATATATTTTCCTTTTATCATTAGTTTAATTAAAGCTGTGTAGTTTATTTTTCAATCCAGTCAAGTCTCTCTCTTTTTCTCTCTCTCCTTCCCTACCTGGGTGGGCAGGGGAGGGGATCGAGAGCATTGTTGTCAGACCTGAGTCAAACAGTGACAATCTGTTAATCTGGTAGAAGGTCAAAATGATTTTAATTTCTTAAGAAACGTGGCTACAGTGATCCACTTTTTAAATCCAATTGGAGCCATTTAAAATGCTACTGTCACCAGTTGCTAGTTGGTGTGTGGACACTGGTTAATTTTACCTGAAGCAGTTTACGGAGTACACACATGAACTGTTCATCTGATGAATAACCGAACAGAAAACACCTATAGCACCAGCGCTGTGTTGTCTATATCATTGAAGCTGTTTGCAGGACTGAATCCATGCCAATTGCATCAACATAAAATGTATACCACTCAGAAAACAAAGATGCTGCAAAAACAGACTAATTGCATTCACAAATTAAATGGTCCTCGGTGATACGGATAGATCTGGGAGAGGGAGAAATAAAACTACTGCAGTCAGAAGTTATATGTGCTGCTGCAGACAGGAAACTGGACTCACAGTGGACTGGGTCTTTCATTACTGTATTAGGTTCTACAAAATAGCATTTCAAATAGTGTTTTTAATATAAACTATGATTTGGATTTATTTTGTCTCCTTCCATACAAACTATGAGAAATTTTATATTTAGCTCAAAGAAATAAAAATGGTGAAAACATTCTACAGAAGCAACTGTGCCTTATATATGCAACACTGGGAAAAAAATCAGAGTCCCCAACAAAACAGGCCAAAAATAGCCTATCAGATCAAACATGCCGTAGCAATACAGTAAAATATGAATGGGTAACCAAACAACCTGTTAGTAGTAACTCTTAACAGCAGTTGACCTTTCTGTTGTGAGTGATACTACAGGCAGGAACGCTGCTGGGAAGAAGAAACCCAAAAACTTGCAGATTTTTTGAAACCATGTGCACAGGAATATTCTCAGGTCATTTTGCGTACATGTAGTGTAATGCTACCATTCTTACAAGGCTGAAAGAACTCCACAAAATGTTTGCAAATTATTGTCACAGACCTCTAGATCTGGGAATACTGAATTTCCCATGTTACACATAACATTAGATTATTTTAGACCAAGTATGAAATTCAATACATAAAACCTTCTGCTTAAAAGACAATTCATTACAACTAGGAAATTTTAGTAGTTATAACATAGGGGAAAAATACTAGAACAATGCTTGAAGAAACATACATACCATCTTAGCAGGAGCCTGCCACAGAAGTAGCAATAGAAAAACGCAGAAATTGTATATCTTTTTTTTAAAAAATGATATTTTATTATCTCTTAACAAATAAAAAGACTTACCTTTTCCATTCCTAATGCTAGCAGTACATCTGGATTGGCAGAAGTTACTGAAAGATAAGATGAATAGGTTTTGTTTTTTTTTTTCACTGGATGATATACACTTCCTTATACCATAAAGCAGCCTGGTTAGACAGAAAATTGTGTAGCCTCTAAAAAAACCAACTGACTTTCAGCAGCAGTTTAACCACATTTTAATGTCCTGCTGGACTAATCCCACTGTCACTTTTCAGCAAGTAATATTAAACAAAAAAAGCATGGTGTTAATGCTTCTGCATTATTTTTTATACATGATCTAGCTCAGGTTCATGATACTGAAATATGACGTACAGCCATACTTCAAGATAAGCAAGCCCGATTTTTTCAGTGGGAGGGATTCCATCAACATTACCAGTATGAGCAATCAAATTCTTCTAGCCTTCCAATTCCTTGTTAAACAGCCTCCCAAATGCTTGATCAGGATTTAAAAACCTATCAGATTTAAGTAACTCAAAAAAGCATGTCACCATCCTTACTGTTTTAAAGAACAGCTACAATGTAGGGAGATGAAAGGCCCAGCAAAGCAAATATCCTAACTGTAGCCGTGAGCAACAGCAATACTCAAGTAAAAGTACAGTACCGTTAAGGACAGGGGAACGTTTCCCCACCATTCTTCTGCAAAATACTGTAATTCATAGTTCATGGATTTTCTGAATATAAAGGTGAACTGTTGTCTCAGAAAAGCATTATAGCTCCTAAATACAATACAATTGATTTAATAAGTTTATAAAAGTACATTTTTTGGTAATTTTATACTTTTTATCTCCACACATTCTGAGAAGCCTTAGGATTAGTAGTTTTAAAAGCAGTTTTTGTTCCGAGACAAAAATCAGCGAAACTATGGTGTTCAAAATGCATTAAATTGTACTTCACAGTAAATCCCCTTTTACTTGGAGAATTACTGTCTTGAAATTGACACAAAATTTGAGTAGAGCACTCCCAAATTAGGCTTATGTTTAAGAGCTGTGGGACCTAGTAGCCAGTGCTACTACTAGAACAATATTTTCTTAATTATATAAATATCCGACAAACATGATAAAATTAATTAGTGTGTTTTTACTGGCACATCTAAAGAAATCCTTACAACTCTTTCCCTCCACCTCTCCCACTATGACTATCTTCAGCCCTCACTACCTGGAACTATCAATTTCTACACTTGGTTTCTAACAGTTCATCTTTAGATACCTTACACCAAGTATGTCCTTCCCATTCAATATTTATCTTTTGTAGCTATTGGAATAGAAGCCACATCTTCCTAGGAAAGAAATCACTAACTCTAATTCAGTGAAGGAACAGTATAGGTGTAATTGGGACAACACGTTTATGGCAGCTGCTCCCATAAAAACACAGATTGCTCTATCTACCATCAGTTAAAGCTTTTTTCAGTTAAGAATCACTATGCTTGCAGAAATTAAATGTCAAATAGAATTGCCTAACAACACACAGTACAATTACTAAGCAAAATACTACCAGATGCTAGGAATGTAAAAGCAACTACTATGCATATGTTTACACAGAATGTCCTATTAAAATAGGAGGAATTTGGCTGAATACTGATATTTTGCAAAGAAAAACAGAAATTATTCAGAGACCACAACTGTTTTATATGGTTTAAAATATCGTTGCTTCCTCTTCCTTATTTTGCAAAGGTAAAAGTTAAATTCTATGTTTATGAGCCAAATGCTTGTTAAAAAGTTTTAATTCAGCTGATTTAGCAGCTCTAGAGCTACAAAAATAGTACTAGAAACTGAGAAAGAACAAGAGACTAAAGTAGAAGCTTTAGAAAAATAAAATTTGCATTGCGGATTCAAGTATGTTTGCCAATATTGTGCCCAAAGAAATGTAGAACTGCCAAGTTATAACCTCTGAAAATAAGGTTTACAACTGGAATGCTGACAGGCTCTCATTTACAAGAAATGAACTAGCCATTACTAAAAGCTGAAACTAAAGTAACAAGACAATCCAATGTCCATGCTCTACTAGTAAATTGTATAAAGTTACTATTTGTGCTATTCCTACTTAAATAAATTCAGACAATATTTCCAGTTAAGCAATTCCTCCTTCAAAACAAACAGCAGGTACAAAGACAGCAAGACGGACAGAGAAGCACTATAACTCTATTCCAATTCTTAGCAGCGACTTTTTTCTTCCCTCAGAAAGGCAGCCAAAAAGGCAAAGTTCTGGCTGAAAAATATTATTTTCATTATAATATACATAGATCATTTATCTAGTGCAAAATTAAAATTTCTAATAATAAATCTTATCACGTGGGAAGAATGGTTGAGCAAAGCAAGTCAGCCAGCCAATAAAAACAGGTCAAGCCACAATCATTTTTACCCAAATAGCTTAAAGTAATTACATATTTCAGTAAGGAAACCTAACATCTCCAGGTATTTTACCCAGATAAAAACTTCAAGTACTTTCAATTCACTCGCTTTAAGCCAGCAGTTTATTCATGAGTGGCAGCCAAGAAACAGTATTTCCCAAATTAATTCCATGTCATACTTTTGGTCTACATTCTGCAAAGAAAACACTTGAGGCTGGCCATTCTTAGAGGAAGGTTTAAAAGCACATGAACTACAAATTTATTCTAACAGAGTAACAATTTCTATTTATAAGAAAGAAGACTTCTATTTCCCAGCTCCTATTATTTGATCATGATATGCAGCAAGTACAGGAACTTTGAAAAAGCAGAAGGGACTCTAATGTTAATTTGAAAATGCATTTCAATTTGGCCAAATGACAAAACCTTGGAAATAACTATTTGCTGTCTAAAACACATTCCTACTATTTAGTAAAAGCTAAAAATAATAAAACTTTTCTGGCATAAAAACATTAAAATTAGTCAAAGTGTCCATTTAAAGATTAACTAGTCGAAAGGTGCTAAAATTTCCTAGACAGGAGACATACTAGTGTGTGCTATCAGAATACTAATGATAGTATTGCATGAACTGTTTTAGGAGTCTCCAAACTGGACCTCTGAAAAGAGATTACTTTAGTTACCCTTACATTCTGAATGGTTTTATTTTCAATGTCTGGCCACATTAGCCTTGCAATAGAGCAAAGTCATTCAGCATTAAGGCTTACTAAAAAAAAACAATTTTGAAGAACCTAGGAGTTTATACCTTATGACTTATGAATGCCTGACAAACATTAGAGCTACCCCTTGTCTCAGTGGTCTCTGCTTCTCAGAGTCAATAAGTGATCTGGATTCCTGTGTTGTTTAAATAAAACTTAGTGTCTTTTACCATTTTTTCTTAACCAAAAATCTCTCACTTCTGTTAAATCCAAGCTTGACATTGTATTATAGTGCAATGGATTTACTGCTAATGGTTTACTTTGAAGTTTCAGCTAATACATCATAATACAGGTTTTTGTGATGTGTTAATAAAAGCAAACTAAGGCAGTATTGTGAAAAACATGTTAGGGTAAACTATTGTTAGTTTATTAGCAATACTTGCAAAGATAAAAAGTATCAGCTCCTGAAAAGACAAAATTCTTTGCCCAAGTGGTTCTGTCCTAAAAAGGAAATACAAATGAAAGATGTAGAAGAAAATCACAGGGAGGAGAAACCTGAGGGAGGGTAACAGCATAATAAACTTTTGTTATTTTGTTGTTAGGAGATCTGCTAACAGTTATTTTTTCATTTAACTGACTGATGAATGGTAATAGGAGTTATAGATTTATTTGTCCAGAAATGTAAGATCAAGCTATAGTAAATTAGATTTAAGTTATAGTAAGTTAGAATTCAAAGTTCACCTAAAACTGAAGAGCAAAAAGGATATAGAAAGAAAACATTAATGCTACTGTGGAAAGTATTTAAATTCATTTAAAGTAATTATTGTATTAAAATACAATTAGCAGATACTCAATCTGTATCTACTGTTCAAAACGTTTAGACAAAAGAGACTGCAGAAGTGTGAGTGTACCTTACATGGAAGCAGCTACTTACTTTCAGGACTTTGTTGCCATTCACTGCATTCCGCTGTTAAAGCTTTTGCTTGCATGGTTAACAAGGAATGCTGTAGAACAAGAAAAGAAGCATCTCCAAGTGTGTTGAATTACATTAGACAAAAATGGCATAGAACAAGACAGACATTCAATTATTAAGCTTATACAGCAGAAAACAACAGAGCATCTATTACAATAGACTACTTACTCCTTCGAAAGATTTTAAAAGCCACTAGCAGGGATCAAGACACACTTTTATTGTTCTTTCAAAAGAGGAAAATCAGAAGTTGTCATAGTTGGAATTTCCCCCCTAATTTCCTCTGTAATATTAGACAATGACCACAACTGAAGATGAGCCACTACAAGCAATGACAATACCTCACAACCCTACTCTTCCTTAGATGCACGGTTGGTACACATTTACTATTAAATGGACTGTACTTGAGGTGTCTGATGACTAAACAGAAGACTGGCATCCAAAATCACAGTAGTTAAAGCTTCTATCAAAACCACATCTGTGGACTCAATGAAAAATTATTTAAAGCCAGCACTCTAGATCACTGTGATCACTGAAAACACAGGAGCAGTAAGAAAAAAAAAAAGTTCAGAAAAAATTTTAAATAAATCCAAAACTAATCAACTACATGTTTTAAAAAAATATACTTACCATGTTCTGGAAAAATAGTATATTAATTATTACTATTAATTATTACTATTTCACTTCCTGAAACTTAGGACTACACCTATAATCTTTCTTCAAATACACTGCAAATCAGGTATAGATTTCATGATACAAGGGAAACTGGTAACAAATTAACCATACACTTAAATACAAAAGGTACTGATGACATGGTCAAACGTTCTGTAAATAGCACTGTAGATTGCATTTGGCTTTACATCAACTAAAAAGAGGAAAATAGGCTACAAATTATCAGCCAAGTTCTTATAATAAAAATAAAAAGAATTCACAATTTAGGCTTAGCTTTTCAATACTCAAAATAACTTTCTATGTTCCATCTTTAATAGACAACCTTTTAAAATGTAAAAACCCTCAAAACCTAAAGAAATAATCACCATGCAAACGTTTCTTACTTTCTAGATAAGGTGATGTCATCTGTTTCACAGCAGAGCACTACTCATAACAGTGCGCTACTCTTGACAATACCATTAAGTCATTCTTTGTTGCTTTTAACTTGATAAAAAAAGGAAGAAGCATTCTGGATATCCCAGTAACTGGACAAAAAACCAAACAAACCACCACCCACTGGACTATATGATTAGAGAACCTTAGATCAAGGACTGCCTTTTCAGTTGACAAATACTGCAAGTATGCACAGTGGTGTGCCTCTCTCATGCCCCATCTAGTAATGCACTACATCTATGAGATGCTAACCTTGTGGCACCCAGATGTCTCAACTTTGTTGAAATGGAAGCTTGTGGCATTAGAAATGGAAATTAACCTTGACGCCAAGCTGAAATCACAAAGCAAGCTGAAATCGCAAATCGCAAAGCAAGGTGTGTACAGCTCTGTACACACCTCCCTCCCTTCTAAGCTGAATGCCTGCAGCCCGAGGTTTGTAGGAAGACTTGTGGGGAGGAAGTCACCGTGTGAGACCCCCCACCCTGAAGACACACCACATATGCACACGGAGGAGGGGCCAACTCACGCACATCAGTTTCCTAATGATAACCACAAATCACAGAATCACAGAATTACTGAGGCTGAAAAAGACCTTGGGGATAATCAAGTCCAACCTGTAACCTAACACCACCACATTGGCTAGACCACGACACTAAGAGCCACATCAAGTCTTTCCTTAAAAACCTTCAGGGATGGTGACTCCACCACTTCCCTGGACAGTCCATTCCAATGTCTGATCACCCTCTCCATGAGGAAGTACTTCCTAACATCCAGTCTAAACCTCCCCTGGCACAGGTCCAGGCCATGCTCTCTAGTTGCTGGGGAGAACAGCCTGACCCCCGCCTGACCATAACATCTCTTCAGGTAGTTGAAGTGATAAGGTCCCCCATGAGTCTCCTCCAGGCTAAACAACCCCAGCTCCGTCAGCCTATCCCTATAAGACATTCCCTCTATTCCTTTCACCAGCCTTGTTGCTCTCCTCAACACCCTTCTTGAAGTGAGGGACCCAGAACTGGACACAGTAGTCGAGATGTGGCCTCACCAGTGCTGAGTACAGGGGGAGAATCACATCCCTACTCCTGCTGGCCACACTATTCCTGATAGAGTTCAGGATGCCATTGGCCTTCCAGACCACCTGGGCACACTGCTGGCTCATGTTGAACCAGTTGTCAGCCAGTACTCCCAGGTGCCTCTTGGCTGGGCTGCTCTCTAGCCACTCTTCCCCCAGCCTGTAGCCCTGCCTGGGGTTATTGTGGCCAAAGTCCAGGACCCTGCCCTTGGTCTTGCTGAACCTCATCCTGTTGGCCTCGGCCCATTGACCCAGCCTGTCCAGGTCCCTCTGCAGCATCTTCTTACCCTCCAGCATATTAGGAAATAATCCAAATGGTATTAAAGTTACACAGCCCTCCCCTTCGCTGCCTGTTCTACACTAGCAGTTGTATGGCAGGACTGCATGTAACCTGTTTGCTACACATGAATGCAACTCTTCAGTATTTGCTAGACACATACTCCAGAATACAGCTTCAAAGTTAACAAAACTGCCAGCTTTAGAGAATAAGAAATGTAGTTTCCTTCTTTTGGAAACACACCATGTCTTTACAGAAAACCTTCTCTTTTAGAGTGTAAAAAAAATATATTCTGTCTTACCTTGGCCTCTGACTTCAAAAGCGTTTCTGTTCCTAGAAGTTGTACGTTGCTCTGACACTTGGCAGAAAACAAACAAAACACAACATTTACTTATTCATCCCTGTTTTAAGAATAAAACACAATGCTTACAAATTCCAACAGAAGTCATTTAATATAGAAACAAAAAGTTTTTACTTGGTTCCTACCACATCCCTCAGAGCCTGACCCAGAACAGCAAATTCATAAATATTTTTAAATCATACCACAGTAAAAAAAGTAAAACTTCAATTAATTGAAAAGTAAAAAGGTAACACCTAACAAAAGATGTATGCTTTGAGGAAAAAGGCAAGTTATGAGGGAAAATGTGATGTTGAGAAAGACACTGAACAGATGAACATGAGAAACTGGTAAGAGAGTCATGGGTGAAGCTGTGGAGAAGTTAACACATTTGCTGCTACTATGCTGGCTTTCCAAATGGAGAAAGCAAATTATAATACACATTTTATAGTTTTAACTCATTTAGGGCAATGTACTCTACACTTCAGAAACCATCCAATTTTTAGAAGTGGACTGCACCAGCTGCCATGACTGCAGTCTAAAACTCAGGCCACCACAGATAAGCTAGGCTGCAGCAGGAGACACCTGCTAAACTCTGTTTTAGAACTGTCAGCAATTTAACCTGCCTCATGACAGGGAAGTAAACTGACTTCTGCTAAGCAGTACTTTGGAAACCTTGCTATTAATGTTTTGGAACTAAAACACAATATAGGATTTTTCCAATACTACATCACTTCAGAAACCTAGACACAAGATTCCCTGTCACTTTTAAGCCTACATGTAATAAAAAAAATAATTATTAGTCTTCTAAAATCTAAATCTGTAAAATTATTGCAGTTGCCTATACCTGTTTCTGATACTTTTAATCCTTTGAATCTACAACTCTCAACTCAAGCAAATAGCATTAAAATACCACATAAAATCAAGTGAAGCAATTGAGACCCTCAAAATATAACGACTTTTCATCAGACTTAGCAGAATCTTATAGGATGCATAGCATACCTTCAAAACTGTTAAAAGCTTATCTTTCCTGGGGTTCCTGTATATAAAAATAACTAAGTTTACTACTAGCATATTGAACCATGTACTGAGAAAGGCAAGCTTTATTCTTGAGAAGATAACTGTCAGTTTGCATGAGTGTATGCTAAAATCATCATCCTTCTAAGCCTCTTTCTCCTCCCTTTGTTGCTTTTTCTTCTTTAATATCCAATGAACTTGTGAACACCAGTTAAATCCTATCTTGAATAGGGCTAAACAGAAAAGGATCTCAAGTCTCAGTGAGCTGGTACCAGTGGAACATAAGTAAATCTTTTCTTTTTCTCTGCTTTCAATATATACTCCCATTCTACTTCACTAAACCATAACAGCAGCACACTGTAAAAAAGTTGGACACTGCAAGGTATTCTTCACTCCTGCCAGCACTTCTATTTTTAGCATTTCTGCACATCTTTTCTTTCCCATCCCAACCCTTTTTTTTTTTTTTTCTTTTTCTTTCTATGGTTTCATTTCAGAGAGTGAGGTGAGCATGCAGTGAAAGGCAGAGAGATGAACAAAAAAGTACTAAGGAAAATGTATAAGAAATCTAGTTTATCACTTGCGGTTTGCATACCTCCTTCATCTGCTTCCAAATACTCTCACATTCATTCAAGAGCTCCTGCTTGGCATCTACAGGACAAACTGCATCTTTGGCGATTTCTGGCAAATATTCAGCCTATTAGCAAGCAAGTACAACAATTACCATGTAGCTCTACAGCAATTATTAACAGGTTACTGAATCACAGCTGCTATTTCTGATCACGTTCAGATGTTTTCCCTTGTAGCTTGCAGTTTCCCTTTTATCTGTATTAGGTTTTCACTTGTACACCATACCTGAAAGCTGCACACATTTTTTTCTTGGATGTGATTCATATTAATGCATTCCCATTTCAACGTGTTATTCCTTGTTAACTGACTTCAGAACTGCATAATTAGGTAACAAACACACACAGGAACAACTGCGCGTCGCAGGCTCTGTGCCAGCCAACCGAATGCACAAGCTTCATGGGAAACGTTTCAAACCAAACACAAAAGGACCACGTACTGAAAGAAATTCAGAGGCGAGGGAGGAAAGTAAAAGCAGCACTAGGAAAACTAATAGAAATAAAACAAAACAAAATAAAAAAGCAGGAAAACCGAAAGCCGGGAGGAGGGAGAATAACAAAAGCAGAAGTAACATCACAGAAGAGATTATCCAGGGAGCTCCCCTCCTCGCTGACATAAACCCCTAGAGCCCCCGAACAGGGAAACAGGAAGAGGGAGGCGACTTCTCACAGCCCAGAGCTGCACGCAGCCTTTTCCCGGCGGGAACAGGCACGGCCGCTCCCCGGCCAGCAGGCCCAGCGCCTTCCAGCTGCC